AGGCAAGTTTGCCTCTGGTCATGAAGGAAAGTAGCCAGGAGCACATAACAACTGATATGAACTAAATATAAACAAAAGGTTCTGCAGATTATATCAGCAGTTCTCAACCTATGGGTCGCGACCCCATTTGGGGTCGATCGACCATTTTTCAGGGGTCGCCAAAGAAGGCGATCCGCCATTTTCTCCCCTCAGGGGGTGCCGCTGCGCATGCACGCCGCGGCCGTGCATGGGGTGGCGCCTCCATGCGCGCGGCACCGCGCATGTGCAGAACGTTTGTGTGACGGGGGTCGCCGTCACACAAACGTTGAGAACCACTGGATTATATAAAATCTTTTTAAAATATCCAAAGATTAACATCTAGAAAAATGAAAAATAAAATAAAACTTCAAGAGAAATAGAGTGAAATTGTTTAAATATTTTAAAACATTTAATATATTTCTACTTCTATAAAGAGATTAGTGAGCATATCACACTTACTAATGTTCTCTATAAATTATTCATGCTATACTAAAGATTAAGAATCAATGCTCAGTGTAAAAGAGAATTAACAAAGCAAAGGGGATCCAAAAGTGTTAGTAATGATACTAAAAAGTTTTAAAACTTATGTCCATTCATTTAATGGGGGTTCAAAGTTACAACACCATTGGAAAAAGTGAGTTTTGCCTCCTCCTCAAAATTACCATTACACCACCCCGTGGTCAGTGATCGCAATTCAGACACTTGGCAACTGGTTTGCATTTACAACAGTTGCAGTGTCTTCTGGTCACAAGAGTGTGATTCATGACCTTTCCAGTCAGCTTCCAAAAAGCAAAGTTAATTGGGGAAGTCTGATTTGCTTAACGACTGTTGTAAAAATGGTTGCAAAATTGATTCTGGCCATGTGATGACTTAACAAGTTGTAAAATGAGGCGAATCTCACTTAACTGTCTTACTTAGCAATAGAAATTTTAGACTCAATTGGGGTCATAAATTGAGGATTACCTGTAGTAGCCAATGCTAGTTATAAGCAGGCCCTTCACCTATAGGCAATAATGAATATAATAATTAGTAAAAGAAGGGAGACTAAGAAAATAATTTTAAAAAATAAACTAAAGGGTTAACTAAATCTATACACCAATCTAACAGCAAGAATAAATTGTTCTCCTGTGCTATCTGACCCAAACAGTTAATTAATAAAAGAGTCAGTTCAGATTGAAAGGATTGGTACAAAAGGCATCACATTCGAACATATTATATTACAGCAATCGATCTAAACAATGACACAAGATCTAACAATGGCATGTTATTAAATTTTTCATCTAAAATCATAGGCAGCAAAACATCTAAAAGATCTACATAGGACAAAAAGTAAGTTTAAATAATTATATAATTCTCTTGAGAACAGTATTATTACAGTACGAATAAGCTTTGTTTTGCAAGTCCAAGGACACTTCTTTTATCTCTAGAGCAGCTCTCATATAACAAAGTTATAAAAAAAACTGCATTCAGAGGCCACTTTAATTCAAATATGCCTTTCCTCCAGGAAGAAATTTTTAAACAAACTTATTAATGAGAATCAATACAGATATAGGAGGTACCTTTGTGAAGTATAGTTGTTCTATGGCAATTATTGCACTTGTTTACAAATTCTTTATTATTAATTCATTCTGTTTTTGAGTGTATTTTAGAATTTATTTTTCACCACAAAGGAAAACTCTTAAGTCTTAATAAAGAATTCTAAATTGTCCATAGTTAACAGAGATACTCAGTATCACATATTATTTTGTAGTCGATGCAGGCTGAAAATAAAAAATAACTTTCAAATTAAATAAACTGTCTGCAAAGTTTTGTTGGATATTCTGTCCAACAGAATACAAGATAGATGGTTATCTTGAGCTCACTGCTCACTGTCTTGAGCAATAGTTGTTTTTGTGTAACACTGCTGTTACACAAAAGTAATCAATTAAGATTAATTAACGCTACTGTTCACCAAAAGTAATCAATTAATAAAGCAAAGATTATCAATGTTCAGCTTGTCTTTTATGACACTGAAAAAGTCTGCTACACCAGAGACTTCACTTTAAATGGTTAGATCTGATGCTCTATTCTAAAACACCAATAAAAACTAAATTAAATTTAAATGTTGCATCTTATAAAGAAGCTTCATAATATCAGGAAAATTGTTATTTAGACATTTTTTCCAGATGTAAAAACAATTTATCACTTCATGTAGTTCTTACACCAAATGTTTGATTCCCTGTTCACTTACTCATACCTCACCTAATGACTTAGAGGGGTGAATAGTCTATACTCTAAGACAGGGCTTTTCAACCAGAGGTACGGGTACCACCTGTGGTACATTGGCACCTGGCAGGTGGTATGCAACCTAGAAAAGTGGTAGCAGGGGAGAGGAATGAGCTGAACCAGTGGCAGCACCGCACAAGCCTGAGTAAGAGATGGCTGGAGTTGCAGGGCTGTCATGGCTCAGCGGAAAAACCAGGATCAGTGCGCTTTCCAGCTGATCGGCACTTCTTCGGGGCTGTCAGGGCTCAGTGGAAGTGCCAGGATCAGTGCCAGACTCCAGTGCCAGGTTCCAGCTGGAGCTCGGAGCTGATCCTGGCACCTCTGCTGAGCCCAGAAGCGCCGATCAGTTGGAATGTTGTAGCATCTCCAGGGTCTTGTGATTTACATTCAGATGCTTGGCAACTGATTCATATTTATGACGGTCAGTGTCCCAGGGTCATATGAAGTGACCAAAACCTGCTGGAACCACCCAGCAGACGGGGGAAATAAAAACCAAATACCCCCACCCCATTCCCACTGCCAATCCTCAACAGAAATGCTCACAACAATGAAAACCTCAGACAGGAGGAAGAACGTTGCCAGGTGGGCAAGCAGGTGTCTTGCTCGGCATTTTTTTCAGTGCCATTGTAACTTCGAACAATCATTAAGCGAACTTTTGTAAGTTGAGGGCTACCTGTACTTTATCACTTTTTTCTTTTTTTTTTCCTCATCAAGTTTTTGACATCTTGCTAGGCAACTGGTGATACTCGGATGTTGCCATATCCTAAAAGTGGTACAGTGGGTGAAAAGGTTGAAATGCTCTATGACATCTACAGGGCACCCAGACTAGGAAAGCAACCTTATAGTACAGAGACATGTAGATAGACAGCTACTAGTATTTAATTAGATCAAGACCAAATTTAATCTGCAAGTGTTTGCATAGGAACACTATACTTTCAAGCCATTATTGTTGCATTGCCTACAACTCATCTCTAGGAAATTATTATTTTGGCACTAAATAAAGTTGTGATTTACAGTAAAATGTAACCAATTTAGACTGAATTCTATAATTTCAAGCCACATAAAAATATCCATGAACACCAGAGAGCAATAATGAGAAACTTCTCAAAATCAATTTCACAGAAAGTATAAGCAGCCCCAAAAGCAAGATCTATTAAAGAAACTAAGTCATTTTAGCTTATGTGAATAGAACTTATTTGCAAAAAATACCTGAAGATCAACAGAACATCTCTATTAACCAAAAGCTAACTAACAATTGACTATGGGCAGAATACTGGCACTTGATACTGTAGTATGAGACAAAGGGAAAAGGGAGGGAGAAAATTGCAGTCAGCATTACTTTAACCATCATCACTTGACTCAACTCTGATCACAATCTGCAGTCAATATAAAGGCTTCTATACCTTCAGTGTTTTGATATTGTCTACCTACTAAGGTGAGCTAGAAATATATCCAGCAAATACTTTCATGCTTTTTTGTTAAAAAAGGGGGGTATACAAACATACTTTTAAATTCACTTTCCCAATTCAATGCCTAAATAGTATCCCGCCCTTCCCTTCCCTATTGTATGTAGAATTTAAAGGATTAAAGAGCTGAATTAATCAATGTCAAAGATAAAAGAACAGGAGCAAAATTAAATAAACCAGAGAATAGCAATTAAAAAGAATATAGTACTAAGGAGAGAAGGGGTAAGGAAAAAAACGCTTCCTCTGATGTCAGGGAAATGTCTAATACTGATCTGGCTAGATAACTTTAGGCCAGTCACTCTATCTCCGCCCAACCCCACCTCAGCGGGTTGTTGTTGCAAAAATAGGAGGTAGAAGTATTAGGTATGTTCGCTACCGTGAGCTATATATAAAAAGGAGACAAAATGACAAAATGTCCCAAATACCAGAATATAATAAAAAGAAACAAGAAACCTGACATTACTCAACGATTTTTTTTTAAAAAAAAAATCATCACGACTGTATTATGGTTGGACTAAGACATATATATGCCCCCCAAAACGGGAAAACCGCTTCAGAGGGGAACGAGCAAAGTGTATTCCTTGTTGCAGCCTACGAGAACTCTCGTTTCCCGAGGCTCAGAAACGGGAGTTCTCGTGGGCTGCAAAAAAGGTAACACGACCCGGGAGGGCAGCCTCCAAGAGTCCATGTCGCCAATACATAGTAGGGAGAGAGGAAATGTGTTTTGGGAGGAAGAGAAAAGAGCGTGCTTCGATCCCGCGACACCCGTTGGCGAAATTTTGGGAGAGAGGCAACAGATCGCAAGCACCGAGTCCCCACCCCTGGTTGCGGCAACTGGAGCGGGCGGGAGGCAGAGAAAGGAAGGGAAAGGGTGGGCAACACGGCCGCTTTCCCCCTGCGCTGCAATAGCGGCAGTGGCAGCCTGAATCTGGCGGGGTGCCCCTCATCATCTCAGTATCCTCCCCCTTCCTGCGCTACCGTTAGACTCCTCTTCCCCCCCCCCACCCACCCACGGAGGGCGCAGGCGCGCCAAAATCGCGCTCCCCTCTCCTCAAAAGACCCCCCCCGCCCCACTCCGAGCGGCTTCGGCTGACCGACGTTCTCTCCCTCTCCCGCCGTTCCTTCACACAAGCAGGCCGGGCGGGGAAGCGCGTCTCGGTCTCAGGCGCGCCGTCCCTCCTCGCCAGTCCAGAGACAACCGAGCCGCCGCGCCAGCCCGCTTTTTCCCCTCCGGCGCCGCGCGACCCTTACCAATGCCGGGCGCCGCATAGACGAAGTAGAGGAACGAGGAGGAGAGCGAGAAAAGGAAGAGAGCGGCCAGCAGCGATCGCCGGGGAAGCCTCCAGGGCCTCCAAGGGCTCCGCTTCCACCGCATGGTCCGCCCCCTCCTCGCCTCGCTTCCAGGCCAGCAGACTGAGGCGAGAAGGAGAAAGAGGAGGGAGGCGGATGGCGGCGGCGCAGTCAACTGAGGGGACGGCTGACTCGGGAAAGGCGGCGGCGGCGGCGTATCAGCGGGGGTCGTTCCTCCTTGCCTCACTTGCTCCCCCGGTGCTTCCGCGCGGCTCCCCCCCTTCGGCGACGGCGCTGCATGAGTGAACCGTTGGCCAGGAGCGCCGCTCGACGAGTCCCTCCGGCCTCCTTTATATCCTCTTTTTGACCGCTCCCGAGGCTCGAAGCGCCGGCAAACGGAGGGGGAGGAGCCGTCGAGGGCGGGGAAATCGGTGCTTTCAGGGGCTCTCTGCAAAATCCGTACTCCGGAGCGTCAAAAGCGGACCTGCTCTTGACGCGCTCCCTCGGTCTTGTCCGGCCACCTCGCAGGGACCGTCCGCAAACTCCCCTTTTCGCCCTTCCTGGTCTCGTGGGCAGCCTAGGGGGGGTGGCCTTGGCGAGTGAGGTCACCGATCGCGCTCTGCTCTGGCGGATTTCGGAGGCTGTTTTCTCTCGACCTTCTGTTTCAAAGTGTGGCTTCAATGGCTTATGACTTAGTGACTCGACTCCAACACCAGAAGGAATCTGGTAACGGCTTTCCAGACTAATGAATTGTGTAGGCGTAAGACTGCGAGATAACAGATCATTTCATCACATGTAATGAGTGCCTTTTGCCTGCCATGGACTAACACAGCTTTCCTATAATGACTTTACTTAATTTTCTGAACCATACATAAGAAGAACAGCCCTGTCAAGAATCTTTAAATATAGATTGTGTCCACACGTTAATTCACCATTTTAAAATAATTACTGAATAGCAAAATGATCCCAGTTAACACATGCCCAGCCATAATATTTGTGCCTCATTTATTTTGTGAACATAGACACTACGTATCAATTTGGGTTTATACAATCAATTGTAGGCAAACCAGTTTATTGTGTGAAAAGTCCTATTAGGATAGTCTTAACTGATTCTGTACCCTCCCTATGCATTTCCATCTTTTGCCTAATCAGCATGGTTTACAATGACCAAAGTTACAGAATTGGGCAGCCTCATAAACACTTCTAAAATTAAATACTGCAGCTATGCTTGCAGAGATAATGTCTAATACACCGTAGAGCACCAGTCTGGAGTGGTACAAAACTACTGGGAAAAATGGGACTTTTATGATCCTGAACCTATGTGGAATGACAGAAGACATCTCGGATGTTATCACTAGTTCATAGCATTGATTCTATTGATCCAATTATTTTAAATCATTTAAGTTCTAAGAGCAAAAAGCATAAAACGTATTTTATCAATTCCTCCAACTGGTGGCCATGGAAAACACTCTATGGCAAGGTCTAGATCTACTAATCAAACACCACAAAAGGCTAAAGCAAAGGACAAGCAAAAGATCAGGAAAAATGTGGAAGACTGAAAAAAATCAGAGTTGCATCTCCTTTAGGATTAGCAAGGAGGAAACCACCTGCCTACATTAGAAGAAGAAAAAAATATATTTGAAGGGTAAATCAAAGGAGACACAGAGCAGTGTCAACTTATAGAGGCACTTATAATATAAAATATATACAATATATATAGAAATATATAGAGCAGAATATAGACTTAAAGAGAAGAAAAACACAAATTGTATGGACTGCCCAGACCAAATTCTATATTCTCTCCTACAATCTTTGGAGTACATTTAGAATTATGTGCCAAAACTATTTCATGGAAAAACTCAGAAAAATCAACTACCACATCATCAATCTCTGTGAAACTAGAGCATCAACTGAAACACACAAAAATGGGAAAATAATGGTGATGAAATGCACATATCCACAGGTGAAAACCTCACACATTGCTGGGGTCATCTTCATAGTTGCTTGCTAACACATTCTAAATGTAATCATTACAAATAATTTCCATATTTTGCAAACAACAAACTAAAAACAAAGGGGAGAAATAAACCACAGCTCATAGCCAAATACTGTGTTCCACACAACAGTCATTACAACAATGAAACTGAATATTTGTACAAAGAACTTGAATAATAAGTAGCTCAGCTAGCCTTCAAAAAACATTATCATAAAAGACGTGTGCTTGAGAAAGTTCAAGATAAATATGTTAAAATTTTGTAGGCAAATTTTTAGAAGACGAGTGAAATAAAAATATTGAACAGTTGACAACCATTGTTAAATCATAAAAGACATATGTGATGAACATCTGTTTTGAGAAACCAGCATGGAAGCACTGAATTTGGCACTCTCCCAATTGGGAAATTAAAGTAGAGATCAACTTTGTATCTCCATCCCAGGGTAACACAAAGGTTGCTGTCACTGCCCTTTTGTGCCTGGGGGCTCTGGGGGGGGGGTCTGGAAGGGACACAACAGGCTTCAACTAAAGCCTTGAGATTTAAGTGTTCTCCTAGACTGGACTCATGACTCCTGCTTGAACAGCAAGTGGCAGTTATGGCTAAGAGAGCCTTTGCACAATTTCATGTTTTGTGCCAGTTGCGCATGCTTTCCTGGATCATGCCCTGTGCACAACTGTAGTGGAAAACCACAATACTTACATCAGAAGACAAGACCACAAAGGGCTGGAGAAAACAGGTTTTTATTTGTGCACAATGGTTCAGAGCATTGACATGACAAATTCTGGACCTGAGCTACTCTCAGGGAGTAATTCTTATAGCATTAACCACCCGTGACTTAGCCTTAGGGTGGCTCTTATCTACCTTTGACACACTAAAACAGAGTTTATATCTCGAAGCTACATAAGTAAAAAGGAGAGGTTCACACAAATGGTTGTCTTACCACACCTTTCTGCACGGGTGCTATCTTAAACATCTGTGACTTTTAGTTGACACTGACACTTCTTGTAAAATGGTTTCTACATAGCATGAACACATCTCTATAATTATGACACACAGGTTATATGATTTAGGTTACATTGCACAGCCAAACTTAATATCATCTATTAACTATTATCAGCAACAAGCATTCCTATTAAGATATATTGAACTTTTTCCTGCCCACCTCATAACCACTCATGCCTTGCTCATTTCATGTTTGGACTACTTCAATATGCTCTATATGAGACTACCCTAGAAGAGTATTCAAAAGCTACAGGAGGCATAGAAGGCAGCAGTGTGGACAGTTCTAGGGGCCCCTTGGGTGGCCCATGTAACACCACTGCTACATGAACTGCATGGTTGCCAGTTTGCTTCCAAGTTCAATTCAATGTGTTAATTATCATTTTTAAAGTCATTCATGCCATGAGTCCAGGCTGTAAACTATCTCATATCAGTGGGATTAGCTCTTTGGGCACAAAAGAGCACAAAACAGCTTGTACTTTCTACTAAGGATGTTGCTGATATGATTAACATTCGTCAGACATATGGTTAACTCAGTGGTGGGATTCAAATATGTGAACAATTGGTTCTCTGTGTGGATGCCACTTCTGGAAGTCCATTCTGGGCCTGGGCAACAAAAAATTAGCTACTGGTTCTGCTAAAGTGGTGCGAACTGGCTGAATCAACTGTTTCTATTCTTTTTTCATGATTCTGGCTGTGTAAATTGACTGATAAAGAGTGGAGCATAAATATTTGCATATAAATATTTTAAATCAATAAAAGAATACTCTCACTACTTGTTCAAGACGGCAACTGGCTTAGGAAGCCTTTATCTCATAAATATCAGCTTAATAAAATTATACATAACTTTAATCCTGTCCTCAAAACACTCATGCAGAAGGGCATCACAGAACGTGGTTATCTACTTCACGCTTTGGGCTCCATAACAGTTATACCAAAGTCTGCAGAAAACTTTGAGGAGGAATTTGCTTCATCCGTTCCTTGGTTCACATATCTCTGTGAAATTACTTTATATTTGCTATGAAGACATAATTCTTACAACAACCATAAACCTATTATTATTATTAACCAAAATAACATGAATAAAAATAGTATTAATAATAGTGGTGAAATTGTCAGTCCTTTATTTTTTTGGTCAAATATGGGTTCGCACACAAATATTTTTTAGTTTATATCTCTCTCACACACACATCTACTTAATACTATTTCATTTTGGAGTTAGCAATATCATGCAAAGAAAAGGAGTAAGAAATAGTAAGCCAAAAGAGCGAAGGCATTCAATAAGGAAAAGAGAAGATTTTTACAGCTAAATCTAGTTTATTCCTTTCTATCCTTATGAACCATTCCTATATCAGTGTAGAGCCCCTGTACATTCCTGACTTTTTTTGTGTTTCTTAGGTATCCATTTCCATCATGTTCAAATTATTATGATTTTCCTGACATATTCAATTCTCAGTTCCAGATAACAGTAGTTGTTATAAATAACTATTTTTGCTTCATTTTGACATTCATTCCTCACAATAGACCATACACTTATTGGATCCAATCTGATCGGTCACGGGGATCAGAGGTTTCGTCTTCTGAGCTTTCAGACTCGTGCTGGAGCCCCCATCTCAAGGAACTTCTCTGCGTGCTTTGGCCTTTCTCTGTGTGGTATTTATATTGTACCTTATAATTATGCTTTTATAAATTAAGAACAGAGTTCCCAACATTTTTTTAAATCAAGTGGTGCAGAGGAAAGAACAGCATTCTTTTGTGCTATATGTGCTGGGGGAAAAAAAAGATAAGCTTCTCTAAGAAGAGAAGTAGAGCAGTAGTTTTCAACCTTTGCCATTTTAAGATGTGAACTTCAACTCTCAGAATTCCCAAGCAGAATTCTGGGAGTTGAAGTCCACATGTCACAAAGTTGAGAAACAGTGTAATAGAGTTTGATGCCTCTCTCTGAGAATCCATGACAGTAAACCTTGTCAACATAAAGATGTGTGGACTTCAACTCCCAAAAATCTCCTGTCAGCATGCTAGCTGGAGGATTCTGGGAGCTGATGCCCATGTGTCTTACAGTTGACAAGATTGAGAAACAATGAACTACTATCCTGTTTCAAATTTAGTTGCATTCTTCTTTAACAGCCATATATTATTGCATGTTTCTTAATGGAAGCAAATTAATATAGCAATGGCTTCTTCATAAATAATTGCTGGTTTCTACTGCCTCATTAACCAGGCTTAATCAAATTAATCTAGCAGATGCCAAAGAGAAGTCATAAAGTGGCTTAATGTAACTGAGCAACAAGAAAGTCACCTCACTGAAGAAGGAAAATATGCAAGTCAGTTGTCTACCTTGAATTACTGTGCAGTTATTTTAATTATTAGATATATAACTTGCATTTGCTCCAGAGCTCAGATGGGCATATGTAATACAGTATTCCATCTTCTCAACATTGCTGGGAGTTGGGTAGCTAATCTAGTCTAAATATCCGGCTGACTGTGAGACAAACCATAGTATTTTCCCCTCACAACAGTCCTGTGAGTGTAAGAGACTGTGACAGTTTCAAAGCTGCCTGCTACAGTGAGGGTGGTCTTGAACTCAGATCTTGGCCAACACCCACACACAGACGCACACACCTGTGCACATATATATATATATATATATATATATATATATATATATATATATATATATATATATATATATATATATGGACAGACATGCATGAAATCTATCACTTATTTCTAAATAATCAAAATACTGTGTTAAGGAATAATAATCATGCTTTTGGGATCTAAAACTATGGAAAAAGTGTAGTCCATTGCATGGGTCAACCACAAAGAAAGCCTCCCTTCTAGTCCACAAACCTCCCATGTTATATAAA